TAAATAGTTGATGAAGTCGATATATATGTATGATTTAAATATTATATGCTTGTCTGTATTCATATATCATAATAATTATACCAATCAATCTCTATCTCCCTACATATTTGATTTATTTAACAATATTATCTAAGAAATTTGGAGCCAAAATGCTTGTGATCTATAAGATTTATGATCAAGGATTAAATAGATAAATCACCAAAGCAAAACTATCACTAAGCCTTATACTTCTAGATGAAGGTTGCAGTAACCTTTAGCTGATTTTTTTTTCCTGAATAACCTGTGAAAATCTGAATCCCATCATCTGGATTATTTGTGACTATTCAATTTATTCATCAGAGTTTTCAACTCAGATTATGATACTAATGACATTTTGAATTTTTTAATTTTTTTTAATGTTTCATTTATTTCTGAGAGAGACAGAAAGAAAGAGAGAGAGAGAGAATGTGAGCAGGGGAGAGTCAGAGAGAGAGGGAGACAGAATCTGAAACAGGCTCTGAGCTGGCTGTCAGCACAGAACCTGACACTGCGCTCGAACCCACGAACTGTGAGATCATGACCTGAGCCAAAGTTGGACGCTTAACCAACTGAGCTACTGAGGTAGCCTTTGAAATTTTTTTTTTTTTTGAATGAAGAGTTCCCTAACTGTTCCATTATTGATTTAAAAATAAAACATTTCAGGTTATTAGATTACAATGGGTTTTTCTAATCACAATTGCACAGCTAAACTATGTTATTTACCATGCTGTTTTAAATTTAAAAGTCTTTAATTTTATTTTAATGTTTAGTTTTGAGGGGGCAAAAGATAGAGCATGAGCAGGGGAGAGGCAGAGAGAGAGGGAGACACAGAATCGGAAGCAGGCTCCAGGCTCTCAGCACAGAGCCCAGTGCTGGGCTCGAATCCATAGACCGCAAGATCATGACCTGAACCCTAAGTCGAACACTTAACCAACTGAGCCACCCAACCACCCTAAATTTAAAAGTCTTTATAACTTCAAACACAGAACTCATATTTTTCAACTAAGTATATTATCATCCTCTCCTCTTTCAACTTATAGAAATGCTATATTTAAAGCTAGAATTTAAAACAGGTTACTGCTCTATTTCCAGTTCTACTTCTAATGATAACATTATTATTTAATAATTATTTAATGTAAGAAAAAACATCTTAAAAGTTGAAGGTTTTTAAATACTTGGTGTCGCTGATGTTATTGAGCTGTCTTTTTTTTTTTTTTTAAATCAAGATCTGTATAATTATATCAAATTAGAATACACATACTTGAGGAAATACCATCATTATAACTGGGACCTGATCCTTTTGTCACTGATGGATAGTGACACTGACTTTCTGTTTTCTTTCAGGAACACAATTAGAACCTATTATTAAAATTAAAGTAGAAGCACAGTAAACAGAAAAGGATGGGCCATGAATGCCTATAATTACCCAAGCAAAGTTCTCTCCCTAATGGCTCTTCTGCATTTATAGTAATGTTGGTCAGACTGGAGGATAAACTCATGTCCAATCAATTACATAATAATGTATTGGACTAAGATTCACATTGTACAATCAATGGCAGGTCTGCTGCTAACAGCTATGACATTTTGCCTGAGAAGGAGTGCCATAAATGAGTGACCAAACGTAAGCCCCCCATTTACCTCATTGAAAGTGAGTGTTGAGCAGTGAGTTTCTAGTGTATTGGATAGTCCTGGAAAATTTCATTCAGACATAGTGAATGAGAAGGTCCTCTAACCATTCACAAGTATATCAGTGAGCAAAGATTATGTCATATTATGGCCAATACAAGGATGACTCACCATAGCTTATGAAGGAATTTAATTTATTCTATGTTTATTATTTTCCAGAGGTTTCCCTTTTGCCTTTTTCATCTTCACTGATACCCTTTGGATGCTAAAGGATCTTTGGTTTTTTGTCTATCCAAGCTTGAACTGTAAACTCTGGAAATATTTTGATCACCAATATGCATTAACCCAACTGCTCATTTAATTGTTTTTAATGTTATCACTAAAATCAAATGTGTGATTTTCAAAGAAATCCTCAATGTACATTGCAGAGGAGTAGAAAGTACATTGACTTTAAACTTAAAATTTCAACTCTGATACTATTTTTTAATCTTTTTAATTTAATTTAATTTAATTTAATTTAATTTTGAGACAGAGAGCGTGCACCCACATGAACAGCACAGAGGGAGAAAGAGAAAGAGAATCTTTTTTTTTTTTTTTAAATTTTTTTTTTTAATGTTTTATTTATTTCTAGGAGAGAGAGACAGAGACAGCGTGAGCAGGGGAGGGTCAGAGAGAGAGGGAGTCACAGATTGAAACAGGCCCCAGGCTCTGAGCCGGCAGTCAGCACAGAGCCCGACGTGGGGCTCGAACCCACGAACCGCGAGATCATGACCCAAGCGAAAGTCGGACACTTAACCTACTAAGCCACCCAGGCGCCCCAAGAGAAAGAGAATCTTAAGCAGACTCTGCACTGTCAGCACAGAGCATGGCACAGGGTTTGATCCCAGGACCCTGGGATCATAACCTGAGTCAAAATCAAGAGTCAGATGTTTAACCAACTGAGCCACCCAAGCACCCCTGATACCTTAATATATGACTCTGATAAAGTTATTTAATAATAACCAATCCTAGTCTCGGACTTCCCATGTTGAATCATTGTTTTACGTGCTTGGTGTATTTTAATTTACATAATTTTCACAACCCCATAAGAAGGCCTTATTATCACAACTAATGATGAAAGAACTGAGACAGAGCATTTAAGTAATCTTGCCAGAGTCACACCGCTAGAAAGTTTAGAACTCAGCATTTAATTCAAGGAAATCTAGCTTCAGAATTGGTTCCATAATGCTAGTTTCCCACTTGGAGCCTTTTTTTCTTAATCTATAAAATGGGACTAATATTTACCCTATTGGACTGCGTAGTGCTATACCTACAATATAGTAGTCTGCTTCAATTAAATATTAACTCGTTCTCTTTTTTTACTCCAATGACTAAGGTGTAAGTAAAATGCTGAAGGAGGTGGATTCTGGAGAGGAGAATAAGGATTTCATGTGGGCTGAAAAGCAGAAATCACAATTTCAATGAGGACTTTTAAACTTAATGACAAAATCATTCTCAATGCCTTTAGCATATAGTATTCATAGACACTAACAAAAGACAATTTTCATTAGCAGTGTCTTGGATAAGGCGTCACTCAAAATATGGCCAACTTGATAACACTGTTAGGTTCAGACTACAGGCGACAGATTTAATTTTTTTTAAAAATCGCTTAAAATTTAAGCTCTTCAAGCATTATCACAGCATTTAGAAATAGCTGGAAAGTGCCTAATATAATATCAACATTATTAAGCACTAAACTTACCTTTAAGAAGAGTCTCCAAAAAAAAATCCCTTTTGCTTAAACTTATCATTATTTACAATTTTTTACTACTACAAAAACATTGGGTTTTGATCAACAAAGTATGCCCCATTAAAATAATAAAAATATTTATGATTCAAGGTTTTGCTTAAGTATTTGCTTAAGGATGGCCAGCTGGACAGAATGAGAATTAGTGCAGCTCTAATAGAGTATTTCCCTAAATGGTGAGGGGAAGAGGCAGACAAAATGTATACGTCTCAAAGTCTTCTCCTGGGGCATCTGGGTGGTTCAGTCAATTAAGTGTCTGACTCTTAATTTTAGCTCAGGTCATGATCTCAGTGTTCATGGGATGGTGACCTTCCTCAGACTTCACGATAGGTGTGGAGCCTGCTTAGGATTCTCTCTCTCCCTCTATCTCTCTCAAAATAAATAAACATGAAAAAAATGTAAAAAATAAAAGTTTTCTCCAAGACTCCAAGGTTATTTTTCTAGATGAATAATTAGAACATGTTTATTTTTTAATTTTTATTTATTTCTTAAAGTTTATCTATTTTTGAGAGAGACAGAGAAAGCACATGTGTAAGCAAGTTGGGGAGAGGCAGAGAAAGAAGGAGTAAATCCTGAACAGGCTCTGTGCTGTCAGCACGGAGCCTGCCACGGGGCTCAATCTCATGAACTGTGAGATCATGACCAGAGCTGAAATCAAGAGTCAGATGCTTTACCAACTGAGTCACTCAGATGTCCCACTGGAAAATTTTTTAAAAATAAAGAATAAAAAATAAATGACTGAAAAAATTGAATAAAGTTTTCATTAAACTGTTTAAATATTTTGTTTATGCCAAATAAAGTGCTTATTTTCACCCATATTTCAATATTGATATAGTTTAAATATAGTTCTTACTGCTGTAACTATTTTAGTAAGATAAACTGATATATATCATATATCATTTGATAATATGATAAACGATCCCTCCATAAACCAAGGGATAGAGTGAGTGCTTAAAGGTCAGCTAGACTGGTCTCTTACTTTTCTTTCTTAAGAGACTGTGAACTGCTCAAGATGCATAAATAAATCGTGTGAGACTGGGATCCAAATGAGCAATATTTGTACTAATACAACCATTGACCTTTTAAAAATATACACATATCTTATTTATTTATTTAAAGTAAACTCTATACCCAATGTGGGGCTCAAACTCACAAAACTGAGATCAAGAGTCACCTGCTCTACCACTGAGCCAGACAAGCACCCCAGTATTAGTGGCTTTTTTTCATTACAGCATCAAGGATATACATCCATGTATGTGTGTACATGTGGGCACATGTATATATATGTATAAAATAGGTCTAACATTTATAGTTGTTTTAGAAATTCTACTTCAGTTCTATTTCTTATATTAAATCACACGACTAGAACTAAAATATTAAAAATTCTGTAGAATAAATAGCCACACCTTTAAATATTTTATATTTAGAAAAACTCATATTACCTTCCAGAGAAATTCATGCATATATTTATTGTTTATTATGTGTCGTAAGGGAAAGAAACATTCTATGTCAAAAATGCACTTGCAGAACTGGATGCCCAAATCATTAGAGAGGTAAGTTTGCGACTCACTTATTGGATGGGATATTGAGTGGACAGGCACAGGGCTGACAGTCCTCAGAGGTTCCTTTACTAGGATCACCATAGAAACCAGGAAGACATTTATTGCAGTACGGGCCACCTGTGTGATCCTTACAGTTCTGAGGAAGAAATACACGTCAGAGTTTATTACGTTGGTCTCAAGCATCAACATACTACCAAAAATTGTTCTACAGAGCTATTAGTCTATTCCCTGCTAGGAAGAATAATTTTCCACATTAAATGGTCAATTTTACAGCTGGGAAATAGCATTGATAATTAATATGTAGCTTATGAACTACACGCCAGTTTAAGCATATGCACTCTTAACAAAAAACAACTGAAATTCATTATACCTTTTTTCATTATATGAATCCTATTTCCTTTTTTCTGTACATTTCAATGTTTTTCATAAGGAAATACATGTGATTGTGCATGCATGTATATATGTATATATGTGCACATATATAATAATATATGTCTAATGGAAATTGCAGCTGATTCTAGATAAAAGTCCATTGTTCAGCTTAAAATTGCTGATGTAATGAGCATAGTGGCTACTCATACAAATCCTCTGGGTGATGATCCTCTTACCTCAGAGATTAATTTGGACGTCAGTGGGCTCAGATGATTGGGACAATGCACTAATGTATTACATCTGTGAGGGGCCTGCATGGCTCATAATTAAACAATGAGAATATTGAAAAATTTTTAAATGTATTCCAATATATAATAAAACCACAAGGTGCCTGACAAGCTCTCCAACATTTTTTTCTTCAACAAAACTGCATTTTTCTGCAAATAGTAATGTTGGGTTATGTCCTCTTCAAGGATAAAAAATCAAAATAAAATAATTTGTATCTTGATTTCTTCATATTAGTTAAAGTAGACTTAACACCTCAGAGTATGTTCAAAAAAGATGAACAATTAGTGAACCAAACACGGGGACTGTCTATAAATCTTTCGAAGCACAATTTGATAAATTTTAATGTTTGGCATCATGTAGATCTAACTTCTTCAATAAAATATATCCAGTTCCTTTTAAAAACCATCCAATATGGATTCGTTATGACTGAAATACATTTTTATTTTGCAATTATATGAAATTCTATTTTTCTCATGTTGAAAAGAGTTCAGCAAAGTTTAGGGGTGCAAAATCTTTATTTTTATGATCAGTAATTAAATATGTAGGAGAAATTGCTAAAATATACATTAACTTTATTTATTTTTAAATATTTTTAATGTTTTATTTATTTTTGAGAGAGAGATAGAGACAGCATGAGCAGGGGAGGGGCAGAGAGAGAGGGAGACACAAAATCTGAAGACAGGCTCCAGGCTCTAAGCTAGCTGTCAGCACAGAGCCCGACACGGGGCTCAAACCTATGAACCGTGAGATCATGACCTGAGCTGAAGTCGGACGCTTAACCTACTGAGCCACCCAGACGATCCTATACATTCACTTTAAAGAAATAAATATTTATCAAGTCTGGTTGACTGTTGGAATAGACAGCCTAATTTAATGAAAGGTCTGAAACATTATTATATCAGCATATTTTTAAAGAAGTTCATTTTAATTACATGTGGTCAACGGATTTAATAAAAACACAAATAAATATATGGTTTTAAACAAAACTTATTAAATTCGTCGGGGAGAGGAATAGCTTCTTTATTGAGTAGATGACATGAAATTAAAATCCAATCATTTAATGCTCTGCATCTCTCACATTCTATAAAATGAGGGAGTTCAAGCCTATGATTTATGAAGTTTTCAAGCTCTGAAATCCCATGACAGTCTCATCAACTACAAGTGAATAGGTAATTCTTTAGTATCTGGTGATACTTGAAAATAGGTTTCTCTTCAAGGTACTTTAAATTGTCTCTCAAATGCACTTAGCAAGCCTTTCCGAAGAGAGGAGAGAGGCTAACTTTACTATTAACAGTTATGTAAATAACAGCATATTAAGATGGAATGTATAAAACATGGATCATGAAGGAAAGCTTCCTTCTTTGATTTCATCTTCATATTAATTCCTTTCAGGTCCTCAAATTTAACTAAGGCTGACTATTACTAAAAACTCATATATTTTTTGCAATATTTATGCACATTTTCATATTGACATGATCAAATTATACTTTTCAAAGATTTAAGGGTTTTAAAAATAAGACTATAAAATTGATTGTATTAATCACATTGAAAATGGTATTTCTAAAACTCCACTGAGAATCTTGCATACCCCAGACACGCTGTTTTTTCTTGACTCCTGATCTAAAAGAAAAAGAACATATAGAAGTTGCTTACTTTTACTAATGTCATATTTCATTTTATGGAAATCATAAAATTAATCTAACACAAGTGTTTTTGCAGCTGAAACTATTAAACAGCATGAGGCAACAATACACTGGAAATCAGAACTGAAAACATGAGAGATGCACTCTAATAGGCTGTTTTTACAGGTGTCCTGCTATAAAGTGCTTTCTGAATGTCCATTCACAGTGCATTGGACAATAACTGTGAGAAGGGGCAAGTATACCATCTCTCCATGTGGCTTTAAATGTTTCCTGGATCACTTCAAATGTACTTTGAGTTAAAATGACCTTTTTATATAGATCCACACTATAAAAGAGGTCTGGATTTTGATGTGATATCAAAAATCCATTCAGTTAATTAATTTTTTTAAATTTTTTAAATGTTTACTTTTGAGAGAGAGACAGTGCGAGTGGGAGAGGGGCAAAGAGAGAGAGGGAGAAACAGAATCTGAAGCAGGCTCCAGGCTCTGAGCTATCAGGACAGAGCCTGACGTGGGACTCAAATTCACAAACTATGAGATCATGACCTGAGCTAAAGCTGGACGCTTAACCTACTGAGCTCCCCAGACACCCCTATTTCAGTTCATTTATAATTGTATTTCAAACCAAGGTAACAGGAACTCAGTTTACCTGTAAATTTCATAAATTCTGTGTAATGCTAGCAGAAAAAGCATACATAATTGATAAAGAAGATAAAATGTGGGTTATGTAAACATTAAAAATGCCCATAATGTGTAACATTTAAATATTTTTCTCTTCATGGACCAAATCAGAACCAGTGTGCTCAAAGTGGCATAATAGCACTTAGTTATCAATATCATTTCAGATAAAAGGCATTTGAAATTCTCCAGAAAATATCTTTCATGATCACATTTTGACCCACTATAATGGAAAACCCAGAAAACACTAGAATCTGTTTCATTGTTTCCCTAAGATACCTTCTATTATTTAAAGGTGGATTCCTGTTTTTCTTTCCATAAAACAGAGTCAATAAACTAGATTTCAACAGAAATTCTCTAATAGTCTTCGCTCCTGTCCTTCTTCCTCTCCAAATTACACGGAAACTATTTATTCTAAAAGTAGGACTTCCATTCTTATATCACATAACCAAATGGACCAGCAGCATGATATGATTTAATTACGATGAATTTAACATGAAATATTACTAGTTTCAGTCTGGTATTGTGATATATTTATTTTATCTTTTCAGTTTTAAAGAAAGCAAATCCATACCAGCTTTAGGCTGAATAGTTCCTAAAGCATGTTAGCAAAGTGTTTAAAGGTAACTCAATATTTTTCCCAAGGTACATTTTAAATGACTCATGGTATAATTAAAATGAAAATTGCTTAGTCTTTCTATTCATAAAAATGCCATTGGAAAAATCTACTATCCCACAAATTAAAGCTATCATGCTTTATACTGCAATGCAATTAAACAAATCTTATAGAGAGAAAACAGAAAGAGCATCAATAAACCTAAATGCCAAATTACATTGAAACAAAAGCCCTGAATTTTCATTTGGGTTTGTCTCAGAAGCTTTTAAGTGGAAGAAAAAGGGGGAAAACATTGAGCAAGAGGAAGAGAGAACATTAAGAAATAAAGATAACAGAGTCTGCCTTAAATACTACAGGGAAATGAGAATATGCTATCCTCATAAATTGGCACAGTTTCAAATTGTGTTTCTGCAAGACTAATGAAATGAGAAGTGTTGTTTCAAGCTTCATGCCATGTCAGAGAATATCAAAGTAACATGCCCTTGAGTTCATCAGGATGGTCTATGTGGTATATATTCTCCAATCTAGAGGCTTCTTAGAAGGATGGAAAGTGCTGACCTTTGCAGAGAGCTTTTCTTCTTAAAAGTTTGGACTTCATTGTAGCTGGAAGAGGCAACTCTGATAATATGTATTGTGTATATTTATTATGTTTTTAATCTACACATGACACTTTTAATAAAAAGTTCATTTATTTACCTTGAAAGAGATAAAGAGAGAGAACTGGGAAGGGAAAAAATAGGTAGAGAGAGAATCCCAATCAGGCTCCCAATTGTCAGCATGGAGCCCCAATATGAGGCTCAAAATCACAACCTGTGAGATCGCATTAGCCAAAATCCAGAGTCGGACATTTCACTGACTGAGCCACCCCAGGCATCTTTACATGTGACACTTTTTTTTACTTAAATGTTGAAATTTTAAAATAAAAATCATGCAGTATGCCCTATTTTTTCAATGTGGAAAAAACTGAATTATGTCTATTATAAAGGTTATACTTTACACTTTTCATATCGTGGGGATACAAACCATTTTCTGTTATGGAAATACAGCCTATTTTTGATAGATTTATAGACGGGATTGAAACTACATACATTGAGGGTAGATATGTATCTCGGTCATTAGGTATATTTTATGATGATGTGTCTAATTCTAATTGGCTTCTTTCACTGATATGGATAAACATTTCCTAATGCTCATTAGTCAGGAAGACTACATATGAAAGAACATTCTCAGCTTCCAACTCTGTTCAATATAAAGATTCCTGTCAAATCACATCTTGACTCAAGTGTTTGTCCCAAAGGTAGTAATTGAATTGCAGGCCTATTGAGCCTATTTCAGCCTTGTCAATCAGCATTCCCAAAGGAGAAAGCACTTACCAGGCATTCTCCAGTGAGATCATCACAAGATTCTGCATGACCAAAGCATTGACATGGTTCACAGATGCCACCAAAAATAGTGCCGTTGACTCGTCGGTGCCGAGGCCAACAAGACTGAAAGAAAGATAAGGTTTCAAGTCTCAGGGATCTTTTAAAAAGTTTTTTCTTTTTTTTTTTTTTTTTTTACTTTGTTAGATAAAAGAAAATATTTAGGTAGCAAATTCAGCAAACATGCTCATCAAAGTGTTGCTACTCTTGAAATATTGCTACAGAGCTATTCCTCCTGACACTTGGGAGTTTTGTACTGACCTTAGCGTTACTGGCAGGTATGAGATTAGAGGAAGCATTAGCTTGGTGTCTCTTCTGAAATGGTAAAATAAAGAAGAGATATAAAGAATTGAAATGTGACAGTCTCAAAGTAAAAAGCACAGGTGGGAAAATAGAATAAAAGTATTGAAAAAAGCAGCAGACATTAAAGGACTTTCAAAGACCCTTAGCCTAAGAGAGCACCTAATGTCATCTGAAGGAATGCTGATTTTCTGGAATACATTCCCTTACACACACACACCTTCATTCTTTCCCTTTACAATCACTCGGAAGAAAGTCGTGGCCACTCTTACATCTGATCACATACACAGCTGATGTCTACACCTAAAGAATTCATGTTTCATTCTCATCCTATTATGTTTTCTCAAATTTGCACAAAATAGTTTGTGATTTATTTACCATAGAGTCCCTTGATATTTTATTTTTATTACATTATTCTACTAGAACTCTACTTATATTCATCATTCCTTTTAAAAGTATGAAACCCTTTATTAATCAAAAATGGAATTCTGATTAAAAATATTTGGGTCTTATAATTGAGTTTCCCTTCTGTGGGTGTTACTACAAACTGTATGGGATGCAAAATAAGGGGTGTGTGTGTGTGTGTGTGTGTGTGACACTACTGCCCTCTGGAAGCTTGCATTCTCTCTCAAGTTATAACTGCATTTTGTGGGTTATTGATTATATTTCTGACTGGTTTAGTACAACATAATATATCATGAAAAGGCCTTTTTTTTTCCAGTTGAAAATGGAAACAAAACAGAAACCACTGAAGTAATAAAGCTTATAGAATTGTGTTGTGTACTGCTGGAAATGTTCCTTCAGCCTCAGGGTATGAAGACTCTTAAATTTGAACATCAATATCAAACAATAAAAAAGGGTCTGCAGATCCTTCACATCTGAAAGGAAAGCAAAAATGTCTTTCCTCTTAATTTGGGCAGTACAAGAAAGATGTCGATTTTTTATCCCTTTCTCATAATTTCTCCTCACTAAATATTTTTGCCACCCTAGATTCATCATAGAAGACATTTCTTTCTCTAATATGTATTTTTAGAAACTGGTGAAGTCATATATCCAGAAGACGGTAGAAATCAAGGGTGTTAATAACAGAGAGAGAACTGATAGACTGTTTTCAGGACAAATATTCATAGAATTGTCATTAATGAGCTTTTTTTTTTTAATACTCTGCAAATGTACTCCTATACTGCAGGCTCATCAAATCTGCAAGTATCAGCAATATCTCCATTTGCCATATTCTTTTCTGGAACAATGGAGCAGGGCATGCAGATTTCTACATCTACTCAAAGGAGACTTATACACTCATACTCGGCATTCCATTATCTGTTGTCTTTCCGATATTCTCTCTCTGGGCTGCACCAGTAATACCTTTCTTTTTCACTGGATCATTACTATCAGTTCAAAACATATGATCTACTATCCCCATTAAAAGTTAACAAATATGACAAAATTGCTTCCTTTATATATCAGAACTTTCCAGTTTCTGGTTTGTCTTTCTCAGTAAAACTACTCTAAAAAGTCTTCTCTTCCTCTCTTCCCTCTCATGCTTCATTCCATTCTACTCTGTCTTCTGCAGTCACCTCTCAATTAAAACTGACCTTGGCTATGCCGCTACATGCCAGGTAGCCAAAACTGGTAGACCATACTGTGACTGCATTTTATCTGACCTCTCATCAACATATGGCTTAGTTGTCTCCTCTCTCCCTCAAATGCCCTCTTCTCTCAATTTCCATGCCATCACAACTCCATGTTTCCACACCAGCTTTTTGCACTCTTCTCTGCTTTGACCCAAGTTCTCATAGGCAGGAGCTCCTAGGGGCTTGATTGCTTTTCTCTTTCTCATCACAGTGTCTCCTAGGTAATTTTATTCAGTCCTGTAGGTGATGATCCCTTCCAAATACCTATCTCTAGACCAGACAGATATTCCAGGTTCAAGGCTTGCATATTCTAACTGTAAAGTTGACATCTAGTTTACACTTTCGAAACCCAATATTTTAAAATGGATTGTTGATCCCATCCTCTGCCCATGGCTATTTCTCCCCAGTCTTCCTCAGCTTAGTAAATGGCGTTGCATACAATTTGCTCAAACTGGTAATCTATGACTCACTCTTTTTTTTTTAAGTTTTATTTATTTATTATGAGAGAAAGAGAGAGAGCATGAACAGGGGAGGGGCAGAGGGAGAGAGAGAGAATCCCAAGCGGGCTCCACGCTGTTAGTGCAGAGCCCGATGCAGGGCTCAAATCCATGAACCATGAGATCATGACCTGAGCTGAAATCAGGAGTCACATGCTTAACCGACTGAGGCACCCAGGCACCCTTATGACTCATTCTTAAATTCCTTAGTTCTTTAAACTCTGCCCTGCTATGTAATCTATAATAAATCCTATTGATTGTTCTACAAAAATATAGAATAAACCCATATCTTTCTATATCCCCTACCATTATCCTAATATAAACCACAATAGTGTGTTCTACAACAGTAGCCTATTAACCATTCTTCTCATTCTTGCCTTCCTATATTATGTTATTTACTCTGTAGCCATAAAGACTTTTTCATATAATAAAAACTCAGATAAAGGCACTACCCACCTTAAAGTATTCTAATGATTTCCATTACACTGAGGCTAGAAACCCAAATTATTATAATGCATGTAAAGCTCTGAATGGCCTGGCTTCTCCAATCACACCTCGTCCTATTCTCTCCCTTGCTTACTACTTTCTAGTCTTCCTTGCCCTCTTTCCAGGTCCTTGAAGGCTCCAAGCTTCTTTCCACATCCTCCTAAACCACTTTCAGCTTTTTCTACATAGCTTACCCAGTTTAGCATCTAAACACCCAGTTTAGATGCTACCGCTTGAGAAAGCCTTTCCTGACAACCTTTTATAAACTAGCCCTTCTCATCTACTCTTCCTGTGCCCATTTTAGTAGCTTTATCAAGACACCTTGTTGATTTCCTTCATGACATTTATTACATGTAGTAATTTATTTATTAATTTAATCTGTTCTCCAGCTAGTGTCTAGCGTACAATTAAATGTAATGTCCTTTAGGGTAGGGACCATATCTGTGTTGTTGATCACTTTATCATCCACATCAAGGTCTTGATTGTGTCAAAATATGTGATTATCAAGATCTATTAGCTAAACGAAAGTATGAACACTCTTATGAGGTGGTTAATATTATTTCCACCATACAGAAGCAAAAACTGAGATTTCTTTTTTCAGTACAGACTTTGCTTTCGCTTTTTCACCTATCCCACCTGTGAAGTGAAGTGAATTATGATGATACTAAGAGGGTAAGAAAATATTTGAAAGATAAACTGCAGAGGGATTTATAAGTAAGGTAGAAATGATAAAAAAAAGATTTTGAATCAACATTGTGGCTCCAAATGTGATATTCTAATGAGTAGTTAGACCTGATTTTTGGCAACCTAGAATGAAGACATGCTGGTCTTTGTAGTTTACTCAGCGTTGAAGTGGTTCATGCATATTAGTGACAGCAAAGCTAGAGTACTGGTCTTATGAACTCAATAAAAAGCAAATGAAATTGGGAATGAATAGTAAGAAGTCTAAAAATCTGATGTTTTCCTTTGACTCTTTCATACTCTCATGCTTCTCTCTTCCCGCCCAATTGTTACCATTATTGAACATCCAATTTGAGGTTTCTCCACTGCAGGATACTTTCAGTGACATCTGTCTCTGCTCATCTCTTTGAATGATTATTGCACTTATGTCCCATACCACTCACTGGCCCCTTAATTATATAATGCTGTGATCCAATTTTTCATATGTATTTGTTCTGTCTCCCAAACAGACTGTTAGCTCTTTAAGGACAGGGATTTTGATGTAATTTTCTTGATAATCCCCTCAGCATTGAGTGCAGAATTTACCAAAGATTCGCAGTAAATATTTTTGAAGAAAGGAAAGAAGAAACAGAAACATAGCCAACTGAGCAATTCTAATATTAAGTTTTATATCAGTGTATGTTTGGAACTTCTAGAAAGATGGTGAAGAGTACTGGAGAAAACACATGTGAGGATAAGTGGTAAAGCAAGCATAGAATCAAGGTGTTCATTCTTCCAACTGAAATAGGAACTTCAAGATTCAAAGAGAGCTTTCCGGTTTGAAATAAAATTTGCTAGGCTCTTAATAAAGCCTGTGCTTCATCAAACACAGCATATATTTATATGTAAAAATCAAATTTATGTTGACAGACTAATTTATTTCCACAATTATTTTTCTCTTCTTGAGATGATATTTGGAAAAGCAAGGACCTCCATGAATTTCATTTCATTTTATTTCTAGATAGGTGAATCTGAGCCTGGTTAAAGAAAACACGTTTGTCATGAATATGACTATAAATCCTATATATCTGCTAAAAGCATGTATCATTTCAGAGTACAACAGAGCTGACAAAGCAATGCCCAGAGTATTTCTATAAATGGCATAATGGGATAGTGTGCTGAAGTGGAACATCTTGGTACACTCAAAGGATTCCTTAAAAGCACCATTTTTAAAGGATTTAAGCTCCTATTTATCTGCAAGCCATGTCCTCTATCAGGAAAATTGTGTTTACATTTTTTGACTGGGTTTCAAGTGAAACCAATTTCAAACCACCTAAAAAATGCCCAGAAGTAAATAAAAATTATTACCTTAAAATGACACACTGTGGTATTAAGTAAGAAATGTTCATCTTATTAGAAATCTAGAGTACTGGGATAACAATACATATCTCAAATTTAATTTTATTTTTTAATTTTTTAATGTTTTATTTATTTCTGAGAGAGTGACAGTGAGAGAGAGAGAGCGAGAGCGAGCAGGGGAGGGTCAGAGAGAGAGGGAGACACAGAATCCGAAGCAGGCTCTAGGTTCTGAGCTGTCATCACAGAGCCCAATGCGGGGCTTGAACCCACGAACTGTGAGATCATGACCTGAGCCGAAGTCGGACGATTAACTGACTGAGCCACCCAAGTGCCCCATCTCAAATTTTAAGTGCTAAATGTATGAAAGACATGCAGGGAATTTTTCAGATCATGATATTTCATCCATATATTATATTCTTGATGTTTTAAAGATTATACCCTTCAGAGGCTTGCAGTTTGGTATTCTTAGAAATAAAGCAGAGCAACAGAATGGTACATAAGATTAAAAGCTAGAGGGGAAGGGGAGAAATATTGCTAATTCCTGGTAAGTACTGAGGTAGAAATGAAGGGAAATTATTTTGAAATATTAAATATTTCTCTGCTATCATTCATCATATTTTATCGACCAATTAAATAGGAAATAAACACTCATGAAAACATCAGATTTTCATCTATAGTAAAGTAAAATATCCAAAACAGAAACATAATTTCAAGATGGCATAATATGAGTAGTTCTCTATTAGAAAGCCATGATTTTTGGCAGACACTCAAGTTTCTTCTTTAGGTAAAACACTATCATTTATTTGTGCAATCATTGCTGGGAGAGCTAAATTACTTTTCAGTCTACTAGAAGCAATACTGAAGGGACTTGGGAGAGCTGAGGATTTATTCTTGCAAACTTACCTCACAAGAGGAGCCAGTATACCCAGGTGGACATTGACAAATCTCCACAGCGGTTGCAATGCTTCCATCAGTAGGATAGGGGACTGCGGACTCAAGGTCAACAGAGCCCAACCTTCATTGGAAGGAAAAAGAGAGTGTAAATACGTAAACGAACTCTTACGTACTATAGAGTTTGAGGAATAGTATAGTATTCAGGATGGAAATACAAGTAAACTCTTTGTGTTGAGAGGGAAGGTCAATGAATATCTATAACTTAAAGACCTGGGCACTCATATTAGGTAATCTACGTCCAAATAAAAGTGCTCACAACATTGACCGCATTAAATGCTGAAAAAGATATGAGAACATTCTTGCCCAGTTCCTGGGTTTGGGCTATGTGTTTCAATTTCCTTATTATTATTATTATTTTCTGTAGATAGTTTAAAATAATGTAGTTGAAGGTACTTTTAAGACAGAAACATCACATGCCTGTTTGACTCATTTTAACGTTAAACTAGAAAATCAAAGAAAACAATATTGATATCCAGCTCAAACTTAAATTGAAAGGAAAGATAAAAGCAAAAAGAAAAAGAAAAAGAAAAGAAATAAAAAAGAAAGAAAAGCTGTTTTCATTTCTTTTCCTCAGAAAGAAATCTTGCACATTGGGAGATAAAAGTGAAACTTTTCCAAATGCTCAGTTGAATTACTTAGAACTATTTTCTCAATTTGTTTTTAACCTAAATTAAATGCATTGTTCTCTGTATCCATGGGTTTCATTTTATTAGATTCTGTACAATCTGGTGATTTTAATAGAGTGATTTGGTGTCACTCATTATTTTGGGGAAAAGCTGTTTTGGCTAAATTGAAAATGCTATTAATATAAGTGGTATATGTGTATATTGTGTGTGTGTGTTCATATTTCCTCCTCAAAATATGCAAACTTAATATTAATTAACAATTTAAATAAACATTGGTGTCTTATTGGCTTTTTCCCATTTTTTAAAAAAGGAAATTTTAAAAGCTTTATTTTTAAGAACACAGACTCAAGCTTCAGCCAACCAAGATTCATATCCTGTCTCTGATGTTTATTTACCGGTCTTGTATCCTAGGAAAAATTACTTATTTTCTCTAGGTCTCAGTATTATCTCCATCTATGTAATGGAGATAAGAAAAGAGTCCATGCATCATAAGCTTGCTAAAAGAATTAAACGAAATAATGAATATAAGGTTCCTGATATAACACATAGTAGGTGATTATTAAATACTAAACATTTTATTAACATATTCTCATTGACTGTTGAAACAGGATAGAAAATATCCACAAGAGTACTAATCGAAACAATATTTGCATCTCCAAATCTAACTGATTTCCATTTTAATATCTTAAAACAATTTTGAAATAAATCCTAAGGGTACAAGATTAATTGATTGCTACTGATTTATGGTAAGTATTGTTTCTTAAAATGATTGATAATCCCTATAAAACAATATCATATACTATTCTTTAACCATAAGAAAGATACAACCAACTCTTACATTTTCAGTTGTTTTCCACAAGAGTGGTGGTAGGTTTTTAATTGGTGACTCACAATTATGAAGAAGCTTCCGAGATTTGGGAATCTAGTCTATAATCAACTCAGAGAACAAAGTTAACCGTCTCATTAAATGTATCTTCAAAAGTAACACCTTTAAGCAAATTATAAGCTTTTGAGCTAACAATTTTCTAAAATCTTTATTGTTTTGGAGTGTCTGGCTGGTTCAGTTAGTAGAACATGTGAGTCTTAATCTCAGAGTTTTGAGTTCAAGCCCCACAAAGGGCATTGAGCCTATTTAAAATTAAAAAAAAAAAAAACACATTAGAATCTTTACTTTTTTACTCCCACTTTACTAACCCTAGACACTTGAAAGTATCTTGGTATGTGAATGACCTCATACATAACCAAGAAGTTGAAAAGAAAAACCAAAGCAACTGGATAGGATCATCTCAGGGGCTGTATGCTGTCATCTTCTAAAGACAAGCGATTTATCTTTAGCTACAGAGTAATTTATCCACAACCATTTCTTGAATGCTGTCTTCTCTCTGGGGCAACAGTCTGGACAACCTGGTAAAAGGTCCTAAACTGCTAAGTGTAAAAATCACTCTTTTGTAGTGTTTAGGTTGCATAGAGATTTTCAGAAAAATCTCTAAATTGTCATTTTTTCCTCACCAAATCAACTTGTACGGGAGGTATCAGTGGCAATTATTTCACTTTTTTAAATTGGGGTGAAATTCACATAACATAAAATTAACCACGTTAACGTGTTCATTCAGTACATTCACAAGTTTGTGCAACAACATCTTTATTTTGTTCCAAGCATTATTGTCAGCCCATGTGAAAACCCCATACCAATTAAGCAGTCATTGCCAATTCTAGCCTTTCTCCTAGCCCCTGGTAAACCATGAATCTGCTTTCTGTCTCTACGGATTTATCATGGATAATTCCGATATTCATATAAATGGAATCACATAATATTTGACCTTTTTGTGTCTGGCTTCTATTAGTATAATGTTTTCAAAGTTCATCCATGTTGTAGCATGTATCGGTATATCCTTCCTTGTTATGACTGAGTAACATTCTATTGTATGAATATATTACAACATAGGGTTTGAAAGAGTTGCCAGACTAAAGAGAGTACTTGCTTGTGTCAATATGAGCTTATGAGCAACTTCTCACAAACAATGACTTTGCTGTGTCATCTATATACATAGCCAGATCATTTCAACACAGGCTCAATACACTTTCACTGGATGGATGAACGGATGGATAGTAGGAATATGGATAGATGGAAAGATGAATGAATGGATACAAAACTACATATATACAAACATACATGTATGAATAGATGAGTGGATAGGTAAATGAATTAGGTGAATGGAACATAGTTATACTTTTTAAATTTTTTTTTTATTTATTTCTGAGAGAGAGGGAGAGAGAGTGAGAGTGAGAGAGAGAGAGAGAGAGCGTGAGCAGGGGAGGGTCAGAGAGAGAGGGAGATACAGAATCTGAAACAGGCTCCAGGCTCTGAGCCAGCTGTCAGCACAGAGCCCGATGCAGGGCTCGAACCCACAAACCGTGAGATCATGACCTGAGCTGAAGTCAGACGCTTAACCAACTGAGCCACCCAGGCACCCCAGAACATAGTTATACTTTAAACAATGACTAACATACTCCCAGATAAATAATACAATAAAGCCTAGTATCCACATTCCAGATGAATAAAGTCAGATAAATAGAAGACAAATTACTTGTGTTATCTGACCAATAAGGAAACAAATAAATTGAAAAATATTCGAGTTAGAACTTGAGGTCAGAGGTCAGAATTCATCTGAATGAATTGTGACATCTTATGCTCTGCAATTAATGAACTGTCACAAGATTAACTTGTATTTATGATCACTTTACTTTCAGAATTAGATGATTTCATGATTGCTATACTAGTTGATTACCATATAAAAGACTGTCACAATTTACTAAACAGTAAATTGGTCAATTGTGTAGATGGTCTCAGGATTTTCAATATAAAATTGAGTATTGGGATGTTTCAAAATATAAAAATGAGTAATTGACTACTTTAAGGAACAATTTAAAATGTAACAAAACAAAAACAAAAATATTTTCAACGAATTGCCAAATTTCATTTGTCTTTCGAACAACAGATGTTCCTCTCTTAATCTGTGTAACCATTTTGAGCTGTAAGAAATTTCAACATTCAAACATCTTTCCTAGCAATATTCCACATTAGCATTCACTGAGCAGACCCAATGTTCATCAGGTTCTGCTGTTGGTAAATGGGATTTTAATGTGTTTAACGGTTTTAAGTGTTACTCATAAAGAAGGCTGCAGCTTTTTTTTCCTCTTCAATATGGACATTTTCTTTTCTTGATACCAGGCTGCATTCGTTTAAATATATAAAGCTAGTGGTAATAACGTACTAAATTTTGGAAGTGCATGAACTGTCAAAAATATGTCAACCAAGTCACATGTTTTAGCTGGCTATTTCCTCTTATTTTTATGACTTGGAAATATAGATAAGATGATGAAGAGAAAAGACATAACTGGATCAGATAGTATTGAAAATATTAGAATCATACTGGAAACTTTGTCCTAGTATTGACTTAAAGATTTTTTTCCTCAATATTTTTGTTTCACTATATTTCTACCAGAGTTAGATAGGTTAAGCTTTACTAAAATAATAATAACAATAACATATAAAATAAATTACTCTTAGATATAGTAAGAACTTTGATCATAAAACTTCTATGTAGTTAGTTTTTCTATCCATCTTTTTTTTCTGTTGAGGCATCTATTTAATTCTACTTAAACCAATGTTACTTTGGGTTAGCCACCATAGATGAAGATTTTATGGGCTATTTAGGCCCTTTATTCTATTTCGCTCTGTCAAAACAAGATGATGACTTAGAAGCTCCTGCAGTCTCTACTTTGTGGAAGTTCCACCAAGTTAGGGTGGACTGATAAATTTTATTCCGCTCCTAAAAAGGTGAAGAATCATTTAGTGGCCCAGGCAACGTCTGAGTGGTTCATCTGAAAAAGAACTAGACATTTTCACCAATCGTTGTCAATCCCCCATCAAGTAAGGGAAGTAACTGAGAGAATCGGATACTATTGCAGCCATTCATAAACATTATATTAAATGCTAATAGGAACATTCATTCCCTCCTTCGTAGGCCTACCAGTATGCATGGTGCACATTTCTAATGCATTATTTATTACACTACCGTAAATGTACGTGTCTGTCTTCCATCCTCGACTATGCCTTTTTTGAATTCAATGATCATTTATCCATTATCACATTCTTTTTGCTTAGCCTAGAACTACCACATCATAATAATTACTACTTACTAAGTGTCTGCTATCTTCTATGTAGTGTAATAAGCACTTGACAGACATCTCATTTAACTTTGAGTGAACACAATGGGGTAATCATGTTATTGTCTACACTTACAAAGGAAAAATCTGAGACTCAGAGAAGTGCAGTGTCCAATACAAACAGGGCAAACAGGGCAGCGCAGACTCGAACCCAAGCATGACTCCAAATTCAATGATCATCTTGTTACCCTATGTTGCCTCCCAA